TAATTCAACAAGAAGTGTGTGTGTGTGTGTGTGTATCAAAGAAAGGTCTGCGCTAGTAGGGAGAAATCCTGGTCGGTTTGCGCCCGGCCAATTGCCGTGTTCTGATTTATTTATCCTTTATTTGAAAACTCTAAAATCTGAAAACTCTGCTAAAAAGGCTGAAATCAAGGTGTAAGGCTTGATAAATCTAATTCTCACTTGTAAAACCTTACATATATGTAATACGAGAAGATCACAGTAGTGACAGTGGATTGAACAGAATAAAATTTTCAACTTCTGCGGAAGAAGTATACGGCCCAATCGATTTATTTTCCTTTTCGGTCAATTTTTTCAATTTTTCTTTCATATAAGAAGCATTCAGGAGCAAAATGGAGGAATTAAAATAGTTTTAATGGGTACTCAGGATGTTTGAGTTACTATTACCAAGAAATAAGCAATTCCTTTAATTCTGCCTGAATAATTTGCAATATTGTGCTGTTCTTATCACAACATTTTGCCCATATCCTGTAGTGTAGTGAATTTTCGAGCATTTTTTGAACTTTTTTACGTCTGAAAAATATTTGATGACGGAATCTGGTATAACAAATTTAAATCTCTCCATTATTGCTCAAGGTTACCTCAAACAAAAGTTCTCCATTTTCCAGTTATGAGAGCAATCAGATTCAGAAGTTCATCGCGGGATATTCCTGGTTTTTGTTTGCATGTAACGAATGGATTAAATCATCTTTTAAATAAATGCTAATGCGGTTTTTGACTTTTTTCTTACTCCTGTCGATTTCTAGGTTCTTATTCACTTCCAGATATCGGATATCAATTGATTCTCATATTTTCATTTGATATTTTTAGTCACAGCTTTCTTCCTCACTTTGAAGACTTGCCGCTTTTATTTCCGACCAGTACCATCATCTGAACGTGTCAGAATCAAGACTCGCAAGAGATTCTTACGATCCACTCGTAATTAATATCATGCTTTGAATTTGCAAGCATTAATTTACTACTTCTGATAAGCAGGCGAGCTGGCGTGATTAAAATCTTCATTTTCGAAATGTGCAATGATGAGGACCGGGATCACCAAAGAGACTAAGGAAAATGTGTGGAGATTTCAAAGAGCTCACAGCAGTTTTAGTCTAAAACTCAATAAAAATTCAATAAATATTTGCCTTGGTGAAGTCAGCATCGAAAAAGCCCTGGTAGATCCCGCTGTAGAAAATCAGCACTGAAAGCAAAGCTTGACGAGGATCAGTCATTTGTTTCAAGCTGCTCAATGCCAAACTGCAAGCATTCGTTTTCTTCTTGGTGCTGCTAGTGTCTTCCCCGTCATAATCAAACCTTTCGGGACACAGACCGATGTTTTTCAAAATTTTAAATGTGAAATGTTTTGTATTATATTACCTCTCCAGAGGGTCGAGGAAAATGATGATCGGCAAGGCTGCGAAAATTGACACGCCCGCAAAAATAGAGAGCATGATTCGCACTCGCCATTCTTCGGGTCGCTTGAGATTTTCGATGTCTCCCAAACTCGCCTCGCAATAATTGACGCCACACGCGGAAATGTTGGTGTCATTCTTCACTTCCTCGCCTCGGGAAAGCACTACAAAAAAGGCGAAGAAAAACCATTTGTTTCGAGCACACAGCATTTTCGGTCGATTCTTTATATTCACCAGTCGAAGTGATGAGGTTCCCCCATATGCCGGCTGACTGGAACGTGGCGAAGAATATGCCGAAGAAGAGCATCACCATGGACTGGTCCTTTTTGGTCACAGCTTCTTGCACCATAGACAGGGTTCTGTCCTTGAATGCGTCGTTCTTCGAGCCCACAGATCCATTCTCTGATTTCGTGAGGACGACAAAAGAAAGCTTCAATAATTTCAATTTTTAACACGTTTTTATTAACTTGCTTTCTTGTCTGTTTGTTTGTCTGGATCAAATTTTGCAACTCAAATTCCGCTCAATTCCCAAC